TAAAATGTGGCTTTTATGTTAGAGTGGGCTTCTGATTACCTTTTGTTATAGATTTTCTGTTTTTATCAATTTGCAGTTCTTCTACCGGAGAATAAATTAGTACTTTCTACTCTATAGAAATGTCATCCTTATTTTATTTCAAACTAGTTCATTTACGAGATTTGAATTTTTATTTGCTTGATTTTATATAGTTATTGAATAAAATCTATTTTTTTCTGTATTATATTTAATTTTTGAAAGTACTTTTTGCATTATTAATTAAACATTTTAATTTTTTTTTAGATGCTTCTAAGAAGCCTAAGGTAGAAGAAAATCAGGTGAGTAAAAGGAAACAAAAAGTTTAAAATATAAGATTTTAAAATTATTTAGTTATCAGCACTTTTAAATTGAGCTTAATTTTCTCATGTTTAAATTAGACCCTGTATTAAATCAGCTTGATTTTTTAAAAAAAAATTATTAATTGAAATAAATTAATCATTAATTTAGGAATGTGCAAAGTTTTTTAATAGATTTTGTTAACTTTCTGCTATATTTTATAGAGTTTATTTTTTTTCTGAAGTAAATAAGTTAAGCATCAATATAATTAACAAAATTACATTAATGCTTAATGTGTTGTGAAATACTTTTTTAAAATTATTTTAAAAATCTTATAATTTTTATGGATTTTTCAAATTGATGAGAGCTCTTAACAGAGTGAAAATTTAATGTATTTTCATATTTTATTTCAATGTTGCAAATTAGAGATTGGCAAGTACCAATTCTTTTCGCATCAATTACAAACTGATACTGATATATCTTAATTTAGATTTTAAATAAAAGTGGGGGTTAAAAACTATGATGTAAAATCCATTGGAGATTTAAAATTGAATTACAAAATTGTTTTACATGGTGCTGCTGTCAAGGAACTTAAATAAAAGTTTGTAACCAATTTTTCATTTTTTAGGAGTTAACTTTATACTTTAGAAGTATATTGAATATTAGAAATAAATTTAAACAAAATGGACTTTGTATTTTTATGATGTATTAATTTAAGCCACTAGGTACTTTCAAGTAATTAGTACAAAATATCAGGCATATTGATAGAGACCAATCTGTATTGCGGATATATTTCTGAATCTTAAACTATGTATAATATTAAAAGGAAATTAACTTTATTCATATGGCGAAAAAAAGCTATTTAAAAATTTAGATTTCCTCTTTTTTTATTATGTGATTTTTTTTTAATAAATAGATATCTGAATTATTCTATATAGATAGATATGTTTGTCAACCTGTAGTTAAGGTAACACAATTTTAATATTTAAAAAAAAAAAAAAAATTACAAGGTCTATAAGGTTAATTTTATGATTTATCTTTTTTATTCTTTTCTGCAGTAGTAAATAATGATACATTTCTATTCTATTTTTAATAGATTTAAATTGTGCATTTTTATGAAACAGCTTTGAATGCATTAAGTTTGAAGGGTTTTGATATGAAATATTTTAATACAGTATTAGTTAGAAAGATGAACTCGATTTAACTAATTTCTATTTAACGAAATATAAATTAGTTACGAAGAAATTAAGGAAAAAGTTTTTAATTTTTTTTAAATTTAAGTTTTAAATGTTCAATGTGTCCTCTCTTTGCTGCAAACATCTAAGCAGTTATTGAAAACTAATTTGACGTTATGTGTTATGTTTTTTAATTTTTGCCTTTTTATGCTTTAAAATATTATATATTTCTTTTCTCACATTAGCTTTCAAATTTGGAACCACCACTACTCCTGCAACAAGATCCAACATCTGGTCCTGTTGGTGCATCTTCTCATGGCCCTCCTGCATTAGGAGGTCCAGTAAATTCCTATCCACCCCCAGCTGTTATGCCAGTTGGAAACCACTGTGGTGTTCCCACTCAGAATCAGCTACCTGCCTTTCCCTCTCTTCAAAGCCCTCCCCAATTACAACCGACTGTTGAAAACGCCACATCAAATGCTGTTTTTCCACATGTTAATCAACAAAGTTAGTAAAAATTTTCAATGTTGATTTAATTGAATTTTTAATGTGAACTATTTCATTTATGTGGCTTTTTGCTTCAGCTGCACCTGTCCGGCCTCAAGTTGTAGCCAGTCATAATCTTCCACCACAACCATCAAGGCCAACAGCTACAGCCACAGCAGCACCAGTAAAAAAGAATGTCATCACAACTTCTCAACCTAGGCCACCTGGTTAGTAATCTATGACATTTCTTATGCTTAATATTATTTTCTTTTGTATCATTTTGAACATCAACGTTTGCATTGTAGGATACAAAGTTTTCAGAAATCTTTTTACAGTGAGTTATTTCTCTGGTTTTATGAATGATGTGTTGGGTGAGCTTTGCGTGTACAGAAATTTGCCTAATAATACAATAGAGCAATATTCCTACAGTTTTATAAATCAAAACAAATTTGTTTTGTAATTTTAGTTTTGCAAGAAGAATTTTTAAGAAATTTTTCTTTCTTTTTTACTGTTTTACTGGGTACCCTCCCCCCTTTGCCCCAAAAAATACGATAAACATATTTCCGTATTGAAGATAAGATTTTTTTATGTGTTTATGTAATAATTTTTTTTAAATATTTAAAAGTAGTTCAATATTTCAGTTTAAGAAAAGAAGTTTCATAACTCAGGGATGAGATTCTTCCGCGGATTCGCGGATTTCCGCTTTTTCTAAGATTTTTCCATTTTTCCCGCTAATTTCCGCTGAAATTTCTTTTTGCACAAGTTAAAATATTTTATGAGGAATTTAATTTTCCGCGGAGTGAAATTATTAAGGTCCTCATTCCTCCCTCTGAAGTTTCTATAAAAATCATTTCCTTGGGATAAAACTGGTTGACCTTTATACAGGGATGAGATTTTTTTCGCTTTTGTCTCTCGAATTTCAGCCTTTTTATCAAAAACTCAGATTCTCTAAAAGTTTCCTTTTTTTTAAATTTTTATTTATTTATAAATATCCCGTTTTTTTTTTTTTAAATTCAGTCGTTGAAGTCAAATAATTATATTTATTTACGATTTTCAACGAAAAACATAAAATTCAAACTACGTCCTAGCTGCTAACCCTTCCGCATGTTTACTTATATTAGCTATTTTCTCCGATTTCACGCACAGAAAATAAGATTTTCCGTATTTTTTATTCGTCGGCGGGATAGCTCGTATTTTCGTAATTTAGACGTCGCTGCTTCTTGTATTCTGGAGTGAAAGCAAACAAAAAAAGCGAAAAAAAATAGAGGTGAATTTGCGGTGAAAATATTTATTTGCTCATTCAATTAATCTTGTAAATTTTTATTTATTGTGTAAACAAAAAACAATTCAAACAAGCCTTTTAGAAATCCCAAGTCCAGACTCTGCAAATATCTCGATTTTTATTCACGCGATTTTAATATCAATCATCGATTTTCGTATTTACCTGATTTAAAAGTTGTGCATTGCAATTCTTATTTACGCTTTTTAAATATCGTACATTATGACTCGTATTTACGAGATTTAAAAATCTAATATCGTGTTTTGTATTTTTGCATTTTTAAAATCGCGATTTTATTATCAAACATCGATTTTCGTATTTACCTGATTTAAAAGTTGAACGTTGCGATTCTTATTCAGGCCATTTAAATATTGTACATTGCGATTCTTATTTACGAGATTTAAAAAACCAATATCGCGATTTGTATTTACAAGCTTTTAAAACCCTATGTAGCTAGGCGAGCTTAAAATCCAATGTCGTGATTCGTTTTTGCCGTTGTAATATCACGCGATTTTAAAATTATGCTTCTTGATCTAAAAATTACGCATCATGATTTGTATTTTCATCATTTTTTAAACTCAATGTAGAGTTTCATATTCACGTGATTTAAAAGCCTCATATCGGGATTTATAATCACATGGTTTAAACGTTTAAAAATCGCACTTTCTTTGTCAAATTTTTGTTTATATATATAATCTTGGATTTCCTCTTTTTTACTTTCTGACTACTCTCATCTCTGATAACTAAGTTTTAGTGTAATATTACTCTACAAAAAAATTTTCAAGCAGGAGTGAAAATTATAATTTGCATTGTCACTACAATGTACAAATACAGGGTTGCCACAGGTGACTAAAATGCAACTATTTGCAACTATTTTTGGCATGAGGCGACTATGGCAACTTTTTTGCCTGAAAAGGCTAGAAAAGCAACTATTTTCAAGAAAAGGAGACTTTTGTGTACTCCTAGAGATGTTTTTTTTTTCAAGCATAAATTGGTGAAAAATCTGTGCCCTGCTAGATAGTTCCTGGACACACTGAACTTTTTTTTCTTAAAAAACAAAAAATTTTACAAATTTTGAATTGCAAATTTGAGTCTTTACTTTTTAATTCGTTCAACCTGCACAAATTCCATTGTAAGTCTATTTCATTTCTCGATCACCTTTTCAATGACTATTGCTAAACAATTCTGCATGATTTTTTTTACTTTAAAGAAAAAAAAAAATTTTTTTTAACGATATTACAATGCATGAATTTCGAATTTTAGTAATCACTTTTCATATATATATATATATATAAACATTTATCTGAAAATTATCATGTTTGCCACCAACTTGACTGAATGGATGATGGTATATGACAATTAAGTCATTAACAAAATTTTAGTCATTTTTGATGAATTTTTGTTCTTATTAGACAACTATTTTCCTAGTTTTTGGCTACTATTTTCATGCTTTAGGCTACTAAAAGCAACTATTTTGTTCATTTTTTTCTGTGGCAACCCTGCAAATATGATATTCATGAAGGTTTTCAATTTGTTTGAATGGTATAACAACAATTTAATTTAAAAAAAAAATTTCTATACAGGTTCTGCTCCAGTATCCAATGCAAGTGTGACCGTGCCTGTTTGTCAGGCTCCTGTGCCAACACAAGCTCCGCCAGTTCCTTCCGAGCCATCTCCTAATTCTCCAAATACTCCCCCTAAACTTACTCCTGCTGCTGAATTGCGGGCAAGGACACCTCAAATTTCAACACCTCCTTTAGATCCAACTCCCCCTCCTTTACTGTCTAAGCAACGTGAGCGGAATTCTGAAATTGATCACGCTTCAACAAATGCTTATACACCTGCAAAGGCTCCAGAACTAACTGCACAGTCAGGTATTGATAATTGTTTTGATAAAAATTTATTTTGGTCCGATATCATTTGTGCAAATTATTTTTATCATGTCTTGTTTTACATTGTTGTATGTTTGAAATGTCAGAAAACAAGTATGCAGTTATTTTTTATGTAATTTACAGGTTTACCTAATTACACAGTTGGTAATCAAACACCTGTTGCAACAGCTGTCACCAATGGAGAGAAAAAAATGGAACAAAAGCCTTCACCAGTTTCTAATATTACCCCTACCACCAAAAAGGTACATATTTTTGTTATAATATTGTTAGGTTCCAATTAAAATAAAAATATATTTAAAAACTTCTGAAATATTTTTAATCTTAACAGTTTTAAAGTATCATTACTACTTTTCCTTTATAAATTGTCGAATAAAAATTTGCAAAAGAATATTTCTGTTATTTTTTTTTTTACCTTTGAAAGTTATGAAATAATTGATTTATTGGGATCTCGGGAATTATTTGGACTTGCTTTTTCCAGTGTTAAAGATAATTTGGACTAATAAATTATTTTAAAAAAAAGTTGTTATTTCTTTAATTTTAATAATAGAAGGTAATATTTTATGAAAGTATGTTTGTGTAAAGTATCATATTAGGAGCATTAGAAACTATACATCATTAATGTGCAATAGGGATGAAGACAAGCATCTTAAATTTTAAATTCTTTTGAAATGGTTGAATTGTTGCATCCTAAAATACAGGCTAGCATTAGGGGGGCTAGCCTAAATTATGCTTATTAATTTGTGCAGACAATAGTTAAAGGTACAAACTCAAATGCAAATAAATGCTTTCTTTGAATGAACATATTGTTCAAAAGAATGAAATTCCTCTTTCTAAAATATGTACAATACACAGAAGAAATTATGAAAACTGTGGTTTTGACTGTTTTGGATTTTTGATCCTTAAAATATAGAAATAACCACGCTAAACAATATTGTCCCATAAATTCAGTTTAATTTTAAGTTATATATAAGTATGCAACATTTTATTAGTATGCAAGACCATCAATCAATTGAAACCAATGAAATTTAAGACTGCCACTGAAGTTTAATGTACATTGTGCAAAATTAAATATTTGTACACTTGAACAACTTGATTCAATGATAAGGTTTTCATGTGTTTTGATGAAATCTTCATAGATCTAATCTTAAACATGCTATTTATTTTGTTTAATTGAATATATTTTAAATTGATTATATTTTCTTTAAAAACACCTATCTTTTATTTATTTACTTTTGTTTATGTTTTTGGATTCTTGAAACTTTAAAGAAATAACTGCAATATGGAAAATACAATCTCAATATTTTATTCAGGATTAAAAATCAGAATTAAAAATTTTTAGGACTTAATCATACTGTTCCATTTTTCAGAGAAAATTCAGTGTAAAAATTATTTTAATAATTTTATTGTAGCAAAAAATGTTTCAAAATGTCAAAATTAAAAGTTTTTACATTATTGGTAAAATAGTTTTTAAGAAATGAAAATCTCAAAATAGATCTTTTTTGAAATTTCACTGCTTAGAAACTGTTCAACAGGTTAAACACTATAGGTTCAACAGGTTGTTATTTAAATTTTCACAGTCTAAACTAAGGTAAATATTGTTTCTCTTACAATTTAAAATGTATTCAACCACAGGGTGCGTAGCGTTTGTAAAAAGTATTTAAAGGTGCTTTTTTGGTGGTTTCGTTTGTAAAAGCTTTTAAAGGTGCTTTTTTCAGCTGGTGTTTTTAAAAAGTGCTTTTTTTCACAAAATTTTTTTTTTCCAATGATATCTGGTGGATCCCATGCATTTCTCGAAAAATGTAGTGTTTGCTACGTAATCATTCACGCGGACTTTATGTCGTACCCACGTTATGACTTGTGCATGCGCGCACACTTAAAACCGAAACCCGAGTGCTCCGATTAGGATAGAGAATATCAGATCCTTATGAAATGTTTTTCTTTTTAATTTAATTTAATTTTATTCTTGTTTATTTTATTTTACTTCTAACACTTTTTTGACGTTGGGGGTAAGGGTACTTTTGTTCCGAATTCAGGGTCAAGTTGAATTCACTCGGTGATGTGGGAAAGTACTGATTGTTTTGATTTACGTCCGTTTCTTTTTGGGTTTTTTTAAAGCTAAAACTGTTTATAAAAAGTTTTTGTTTTTCAATAATATCATTGATTGAATATGAATTTTTTGAGTGCTTGAAAATTTTTGTAAAGTGCTTGAAAAGTTTTTAAAAAGTGCTTATTTTGATTCATAGATTTGGCTACTCACCCTGAACCATTATTAAACTAATTACTTATAAATATTTATGTAAAATTGTTTTTGCCTGAAATTATTTTAAAAAAAGAAATAATTATGTTGCACAATTAAACTATAATAAATAATTGTTTTTCAGACATAATTATTTTGGATGAGCAAAACTTTAAAAATAGTGCACAGTATTTTTTCATTTGATTAAATAGTTTATGATATTGCAAAGTACACAAATAGTGAAATTGAATTATAAAAGGTATAAGTTATAATAAACTTTCAATCACTTTCCTTTAAATTTTGAGACCATATTTTTCTGATACTCTTTACTTTCCCTTTATTTTAAAAAACAAATATTCATTCTGAGAAAATATGTTTCTTTATTTGAATTAGTAGCTAGCTTAAAATATTGTTTGTACAATATGATTTGCATATTTAAGTCAGGCCATTGATTTGCATTTTTAGTTAAATAAAACACCCGTCTAGTTGCGGAGAGTAACAATATCTATCAAGTTAATACCTAGGCACTTTTTTCTGATGAGGGATGCAACTTTGATTAGAATTAGCTAATTTTCATCAAGTTATATAAAACAAAAGCAAATAATGAATCAGATAAGAAGTGTGCATTTTAACATCTTTAACTGCATATTTAAAAAAATAAATACTGGACAAAAATAATTTTGTTTTAAGCACTTATATGTAAAACATTATTTAAAATTGATATGAAATCGTAAAAAACTACTAATTGGAGATGGGAACTTACATAAAAACTCAAAATTTTCATTGAAGTATATTTGCTAAAAAACCCCACATGTTCAGGTATGGATGTCCACCTTCAGTGTGCCTGAGTTGAAGGAGTAAAGAAAAATTTATGAGGCCTCTTATAATCAGAGTACTTGCTAAGCCTCAATTTAAAAAAAAAATCATTTCTTTTTCCCGAAATATATACTCTTGAACATAAATGTAAATTTCGTCCTAAAATTATACAGATTTGAAGACTTATTTTTTTTATAAAAAGGCTTTTCAAATTTGGTGAGGGAGATCAGGGGAGATAGTTTACTAATGGTTACAGTAATTCTCATTGAAGGAACAAAATCAAATTTGTTCGCAAATAGATTATGTGAAAATAAATCCTATATTATGTTCCATTTTTTCCTTTTAAAAAGTCTTAATAAATTTTTTTTTTAATTAATGAAGATAACTTTTGTACATATCCATGTATAAAACTACTTAAATTTTGTATTATAAATTAATAAGTATTTTAAATTTTTTTTCTTTCATTAGGTTGAGTCAAAGCTGAGAAATTTTGGTTCTTGGTCTGTTTTGGCTCAGTCAGCTGCTAATAGCCCTAGTACTAGTAATGCTACACCTAGTTCGAAAAATCCAACTATGGATAGTTTTCAACAGTTTAAAAACAAGGCCAAAGAGAAAGCAGATAAGGTAATATTTTTGAGTGAAGCAGTTCGTTTTTGCTTCTCCTTAATTTAAGATTAGTCTGCAGTTAAGCATTGTTTTTAGGATTTTTTGTCTTATGAAATATGAATTCAGTATGAATGGTGAAAGTCTGATTTCTCCATTTCCCTCTAAATCTACTTTTTCTCTCAAAAATCCTCAAGTGTTAAAATTGTTTTTGGAAAATTTTTTATTAATAAATGTCTTTGTATTAATTATCATTTTGTAACTTCGAACAGAATTTCCAAATAGAAAAATTTTCATCTGAAATTCCCCTGATTTATTTAAAAAAAAAAAAAGAAATAATAAAAATCAAATGTTGAAACAACACATTTATTTCGAATAGATACTACTTAGATAAATAAAATGATATAAGATTCATAAGATAATTATGTCAATTTTGCCATTAAAAAACTTGTAAGTTGTGCACATTAGAGATGACAATGCATTATTATATTCATATTTTTTTTCTTTAAATCTATTAAAAATTATTTTAAACTTAGATGAACATTTTTAGATGACCCGTCATTAAATTATTATTTTTTTTTAGATTTTTAATATAACTTGTTATCACTATTCTAATTTCTTTATATATTTTTTTGTTTCTATTATTGTCATTTTATTGTTTCATACATATCATGCAATAATTACTGCATAAAATGTGTATTTCAACTATTTGCGAGTGACTATTTTCGTCTCAGTAATTGGTTAGTTCCTACTTCATTTATTTCAGTGAGAGTACCTCTTTAAATCCAAGAGCGTCTAAGCTTCAGTTGTAATACCCCTTTTTTGTTATTGAAAAATTTGCAGCTTTTCAAATGTATATAGGGGTAAGGTAAAATATCCTAAATTTAAAATATTTTAAAGCTTTTCTAAATAAAAATTGTAAAATTTTTTCAAAGCAAAATAAAATAAAATGCAATTTTCGATTGGTATTTTCCCCCTAAAAATATTTCTCCTTAAAACTCCTCTGGACCAATCAAAAATTGTTTATTGTCAGCTCTCTTCTACTTAAAGATTTTCAGGAAAGTCAGTTACCATCTTCTAGAAACAGGTTTTTACTGGGTATAACTTCCAGGATAAGTGAGGTGTGGTGTAACATAGAACCAAATTCCCCAGAAATGAGAAAAATTTCCTTTTTCTAGTCTTTTGTCTGTAATCTGATCCAAGGCATTGTTACAAAGAGTAAATTCTACCCAACCCCAAAAAATGTCAGAAAGACTTGCAATCTTTACAAGACAGAACATGCTCCATCTTGGTTTATCAGGTTTTCACAGCCCCTCTCCCCCTACTCATTGTAAAGGATTCATATGAATATTCACTACTGCTGACAGCAATATATACATTTACCCACTAATGCTGAATCGATGACAACTTCTGCATATTAGCTATTTAATTTTTTTCTCCAGGTGTTCTGCATTTTATTCTTTATTTTCTATTCTTTCACAGATTGCCATCCTCTTCAAGCTGGTTTTGTATTATGGCTATTCTTTCTTTACTATCTTTCTGTCTTTTTCTTACTTCCTATTTATGTTTATTTTCTTCTACCTTTTCAACATTCCTTCTTGCTGGTAAGATTTCTTATGCAGAAGGTTTATGTTGTCTCCTACCTAAACTTATGCATTTTTCAGATTGACTTTTATGTTGGAAAGAATGGTAATTCATGTTTTTATTTTTTAATTGAATTTGTAATTTATTTCCAGCGTGATATGTTATGAATTTGAATTAAGAAATTTTAAGATTTTAGTATAGATCTAACAACTGTAGGAAATTGCATTAAGGTCTCATAATTTTTAGATTCCTTCACTCTAATTATGTATTCTTTCACTTAGTATTTATTCTTTCACTTAAGAAAATAATTTTTTATCATTGTTTTTGTGAATTATTTTGAAACACTATAAAGATTTTGATTTTTCCCTCAGTTAAAATTTTTCAAACATTTAAAAAATTTTGCTTCGTTATGGGATTTTAATAGAAACTTTTTTATAGAAGTATTTAGGTCCAAATCAACTATTATAAAACTGACAACAAAAAAAAAAGCTATCTAACCTTTTTTCCTAACCTAACAAAGATTTTTAGCTTTTTTTTAAGGGGGGGAATTGGGATACAATGCTTAAAATGTTGATGGCAGTAAGGATTTTAATTTATATTGTGTTTATTAATTTATATTGCTTTTAATTATCAAAATACCTAAAAGAAAAAAGGTCGATCTCCTTTGGCACTGTGTTATCACAGCACATTTCTGAGAAGGAGAAAAGGAAAGATAAATTCAAAAAAGTTTAGATTATTTCTTATTTTAGAGTTATTAATATAATATATTTATCAAAATATTTTAAAAAGTACTTCTGTATAATTTGATTTATTCCTTTTTTCTTTTTAGCAACGGCAACTTGTAGAACAACAAGAGTTAAGGCGGCATCAAAAAGAACAAGCAGAAAAGGAGCGTATAAGGATGGAAAGAGAACGGCAGAGGTTAATATTCAAACTTTTTTATTCTGAAATTCTCAAAACATATCAGAGTTTTAAATTATTTTAACTATTATATAATCTAATGTTATACTATAACTATATTCTAATTTTATACTATTTTAACTATACTGTAATCTTATGTTCTCTCAAAAAAAAAAAAGGCAGAAATTAAAATGCAAGTTTTAAGATATAATGAAATATATGAAGAAAAAGTTTTCTTATTTTTGGGACAGAACATTAAGCATCTGAAAGTGTTTTCATTACAAAAAAACTAGTTACATAAATTGTAACTTTAATTTATTGTTATCTACTTGGTTGCTTTAATAATATATATTTTAATTTGTAAAAAGTTAATTGATTTTTGATACAAAAATGAGTCTATCATTCATTTTTATGATTATCCACCTCTTAATAATATAATAAACTTCTGTTAGGTTATTACTGACCTCCAGGTATGCATGAACGTCACCAGTGCTCCCTAGGGAAGAGGGAGGCATCACCCACTTTAGTTAATTTACTTAAAATTTAAATAAATTATTTAAAAATATTATTAGATATCTAATCAATTATAGCTTTACAAACTAATGGTTTTTCATAATACTTATTCAAGTGAAAGAGAGACAGATACCTTTAACTATCAGGCTTCTTTTTCTGCAAATATATAAAATATTTCTAAAACATTCTGAATTTGTTATGAATTTTTTTTAAAGCAGAAGTTAGTAATACGCATATTAAGCTCATATATTGTTTTAGCAATAAATATTTAAAATAGAAAATGTTTTTAGGGAAAGAGAAGAGGAAGAGGCTTTAGAAAGAGCGAGAAAAACTCAGCAACAACAACAAAAAGAAAATGCAGTGGGTAGAAGAGAGGAAAATCAAACTATTTCTCCTATTGCAGTCAAATCGAGTTCACCTACTCCAGCACCACCATCTGCTCTCAGTGAAAGAGAAGAATTGCGAAGATTAGAACAAGAAAAAAGGAGAAGAGAAGCTGTAAGTGTCACACATAGTACACATTGTACACATTTAATAACCTCCTAAAGTTTGAATTAAGGAAGCAAACATTACATACATTTTAAGAGTTCAAGTATTTAAAGTTGTGCTTTGCTAACGTAACACACTAAACCTAGTCTGGATTTTAATATATCCATTTTTTTCAAAGATAATTTTTAAAAAATTATATTCTTTGATGATTCTTTGTGTTTAATATGTCAATTTTAAAGGACTGGCTAGATCAGGGGTTTCCAACTTACATGAGACCGGGGGGCTGCAATTACAAACCAAACACCAGTCAAATGACGGGCCGCAACTTTATCAAAATTTTATATAGGACTCTTTTATGTTTGAAGGAATAAAGAAAAAAGAAACAATGGAAATAAAAAAAAAGGCTTCGGTGGCCATATTTTTATTTCCATTGTTTTCTTTTTTCTTTATTGCTTCAATTATTCTTTCTTTTGAAAATACTGCTGCTTTGCATGTTTTTTTCAAAGAAAGTTTTGTTATTATAGAATTAAATATTTTGTATTCTTTTGCTTATGTTTGAAGGAACATTAAATATTACTGTCTGACTTTTATCAAGTTGTACCAAACAAAAGTATTAACATTACAAATTAAAGTAAGAAGTAGATTTTTACCTGAGAAAAAATTTTTTTTGCACCTTTGGTATGTTAAATTTCACAAAAATGAAGAAATTAGTTTTTTTTTAACGAAAGCCCATAAAGATTTTTTACGAAAATTGTCTGCAAAAAAAAAAGAAAAAAGAAACTAGTATATTTTAGCTCGCGGGCCACAAAAAAGAGTTTACGGGCTGGATGTGGCCCTCATAGCCATCTTTGACTAGCAGTGCAGAGCAATTAGAAAATACCACGATAAGGGCCAAGATTAATATAAATAGACCTGCCAACTCTCAGGCTTTTAGGCGAAATCTCAGACCACCAGAGTATTTTTTCAGACTTTCATTCAGAATTGGGTCGGTTGTTCAATGTTGGTTATAAAATGAAATAATAACTGCATAAATGTGCACATCCATACGCTTATTGCATAGAAATCTCAAAGTTTATCTCCAGATTAACAATTTTACTGTTTTGAGTGTATTTTGTTTAGCCTTAATGCTTTTTTTAAAATTTTGAGATGTCTGATAATGAAACCAATGTGTAACATTGATTTGATGAGGTAAATTTATGAATTTTTCGTGTAAAAGTGATGCTGAAATAGCTAATTTGAGGTTTGGTTCAATTCTTTCTTTTTCAAGCCTCAAATTGTTGATAGTTTTTCGTTTTAGGAAAAGATAAAAAAAACCCATTTCTTGATATTCTAATAACTCAATTTTGTGCTATCAAGAGAAAAGATTTTAAAAAGTTTTCTTTCTATTGATTAGATCTATACAAAATGATAATGATGTGAAGTCAGTTACAGGAAAACTAAGGCCTACTATGACTTGGCTAAGTAAAAGCAAGGAGTTATAATTATTCCTCTCAGAGATGGAATCTGAAATAATATTCAGCCACTTAACAAAAATCTAGACTTAATTCTATTCTTTTTTGTCAAATTAAACTGTTGACTGAAAAAGCAAAATAGAAAGAGAATTAAAAAAAACCTTTAACATTTTTAAAGAAATGCTAAATCAGTCACATAGTTTATCGTAAAACAAAAGATCAGTTTATTGTTCTTTAATTTTTAGGTTTTAGCATAGGAATGCAGGAAATTTTTCTTCTTTATTATTGTTTTGCTTATGATCCTATGCAATGGTCACAAAAAGTTACAGGTTTTTTGAACTTTTGAGGTTGGCAGGTCATAATTCAGTTGTTATCCTAAAAATAAATTGCTAACTTTAATTTTATTTGGATGAAACACAAATGGCTTAAAAAAACATAGCTTATAATTTTTTTTAAACGTAGCTACAGATAATAAAAAATTTATATGAAAACATTAAACCTAAATATGATAAATCTAATCAACTTATTTATAGTTGTATAAAAACATACAAAATTAAAATTTTTAATTTAAAACTTAAAGTTAATTTTGATTATTATTTAGGAAACAAAATAGGAGAGCTTTCTGTACAGGTACAGAGGTGTAAATGTTTCACTCTTGTTCTGAGTTTCTGCCTTGTTGAAAAGCTTTCTTATATTGAATACAATCTATAACCACCCCTTTCTTTTTAATAAAATTTACTGATATGGATTTATACTGCAGTTTTATGTTATTTTTTTCATTTATTTCACTTCTGTACATTTTTCAGAGAGCAAGCCACATTGATATGAATAGACAAAGTGACATTATGGCAAATTTTGAAGAAAACTTGTGATGCATTTTGAAACATTTACTAGTGGCTTTACTGGCTAAATATCAAGACTTGTACATAATACAGAAATTTTTTATTAATAATGTGGTGCTGTCTGTGAGCCACGTTTGTATGCGTGCTGTGCAACAGTTTGCACAGATTGCTGAAACAGTTCAAAAAAAAAAAAATCCAGTTGATTTTTCTGGATGCATATTTTGTGTATGCCTTGCAATACTTCATTCCTTGCATTGGACTGAGCAGTCCAAACAGTCAAACAAACATTAAAATTTCATGTTGTATTATAGAGTCATCATTCATCATAACAAAACCATCATACGAGAGGTAGTAGTGTGACACAAATCATATATAAATAGTTCATCTTCAGTTTCGAATCATCGCCATCTACAATTTTAGCAATAGCATGGAAAGTAAAACTCTGTGAGGGAGAAATCGTGCATCAACTTTTGTACTAATACTTGTCAAGAACATAGAAGTACTATATGATTTTAGAACTATATTTACAGTTGTATATGCAAAATAGGCATTGTATTATACGCCATCAGTGCTGAGCTCAAAAGAAATACTAAAGACAACTTGCACAGGAATTTTTGCTCTGTCATAATTTTGAACTTGTATGCCAAAGGTTTCTTCTTGGTGTCATATGGTGGTGAACCAGAATAATGTACTTATTAGGGGCCAGTACCTTTCTTTCTATTCTTAATAAGCTTTAAATTCCAAATTTATGTAATTTAATATGCTGTGAAGAACACAGTCTTTCCATTTAAATATTTCAGCAGCAAGCTAAACAAAAAATATGGGTTTCTTTCTTCTCGCAGAAATTAAAAATAATAATTTATTGTCAGTGACTTGTTTCTGTATATATTTTGATGTTAGTGCAAGATATTGTAGAAAAGTGTTTTGAAAAGCCTTTTGTAATTTGTATTACATGCATGTCCTGAAATTTTTTAATTATAATTTGTCTGACTACCTCTTGTCTATTTATTTGTCATGAGAATCATGTGAAGAAATGCATTTATTTTATCACACCAGCCTCACAACTGTAAAGGTTGGTGGATAAGTGTTTTTATCTCATTGTAATCTTGCATCGGTTTATCATTTGTGAGAGGGCAATGTGCCATTCAAAGACTTGCTTGGGAATTCGTTGTTATATATTTTTCATTGCTTACTTTCTCATAAGTCATTTGCTGTGAAAATTATCTCTTATTAATGCACATAGGTGTTGTTGACATGACATTTTTCTAGAAATACCCATAGTTTAATTTCTTCTTAATTTAAAATGCCTGCTCAAAAATAAAGTAGGAATTTTCTTAAATTAATCTTTTTATATTATTATCTTTTAAATATATCTAGGAAAAAAAAGGCATGCATTTTTCTAAATATAATTAAAATTTCTATATAAATTTTTTTTAATTGTTATATCTAGGAAAATGAGGCATAGAGTTTTCTCGATGTAATTTCATTATTTCTTTATCATAACATTTTCAAAAAGAAAAAAATATATAAATAATTAAATAGCTTATCAAACTATTTTTGATCAAAGTATTTTTTGATGTATAAAATAAAATGGTAATCATACTGTTTGTTATCTTAAAATCTTTATAAAACACACTGTTCTGAAATTTTCAAAATTTTCATCACGAAATGCTGGCAGCTTTATGGTAAAAATCTAAATTGAAATAAAAAACTACGTGAAATAGGGAAAAATAGCTTTGCATTTTTGCAGCTTTGTTAATTGTTGAAAAACTGTTCGTAAGTTTTAATTTTTAAAGTTTTGAAGAAAGAAGGGTATTTAAAAAATGTTAAAAATTTCCAAATTTTTTTTTCCTCGTTAGAGAAAAATGTTTTCCCAAAATTTTTTAAGGTGAAAATGTAATAAAATGCCAACTACATCTATGTCCTTTTCTTTTTATAATTTGAAATAATACTGTATATAAAAAAAGTTAACTGTTATTTGCTGGCTGCTATTTTGTTTATTTATGCTAAAAAATACTCAAATATGAAGAATTAATCTTTTGAACTATAAATAAAAAAATTGTTTATCTATATATAATTAATTATGACAGTGTAATTCAACAAAAGTTCATTGTGTTCCATTTTCAAAAGAGCAAAAGGTTCAAAAGTAATTACAATCTATATTAATGAATTATGTGAAATGTAGTTATCTTTCATTTTTTTAAAAGTAAGTTTAGGTCATATAACAACAAAATTTTTTTAAGAGATTTTTATTTTTAATAGAATTTTTCCAAGTGTACTTATTTATTTTATGAAAGTCTTGTCAATAATTTCAAGCCTTTTCATGTTTTTTCTTCAATTAACATGAACTCTGGAATGTAAATTATTATATTAAAATGAAATTGCAAAAAAAAAAAAAAAGAATGTAAATATATTATTGTTCTTACCTGGTACATAGCTGACTAAATTCTGAAAGCTTTGTGTAGTTAATTACTTATTAATAGGAAAAGAAATCTTTAACAAGCTATTATTAATACAATTTATTCTTTTTAATTTTGCAATATTCTTAAATGGATTTAAAGGCTAAAATTTTAAATTCTAAACGCACAATTTATCAATTATGCTTTACACTAAAAGTTTCCTTTTGACATTACTGCCATCCTGTAAATTATTATTAAAAATCATTTTTATTGTATGCTACACACAGCTAATCCACCATTACTAGTTAGGCTGTATCAGGCTTTTGTTAAATATTTTTGTTGAAAAATGTATTAGTTTATTTAAAATGAAAACTGAGCACAAATTAGTGAAAAATCCTTTGTTTATTACTTATATCTTTTTAATTTATTTGACGAGTTTATTATAAATATATTTCATATAGCAATAAATTTAATTGGTTCAAAATTATGATACAGCAGGCAATATGGAAACTGATGTTTATGATATGCATGCAAAATCAAATAATTGAAACAAAAATGTTGTCTTGTGCAATTGTATTTTTTAGCTATTTATTAAATAGAATTAATTTTGGTCATTTTGAATGTATTATATATTTATTTAAATAATTAGTTTGCAGTGATCATATTTATTTTATTTTTGCAGAATTATTAATTTATTTATTTTAACCTTAACAAATATTATAAATGAAACAAAGTTATTTATTTTTATTCAAAACGTCAGTTCTAAAAGCTGTTGTCGATGTCAGTATAAAATTGAATGAATTAAAAAGGATTTCTAAAATTTTTTAAGCTAATTTGCTTAGTACTTTATTGCATGTAATTCATGCATGTATATATAAATATGGGTGTCAGTTGTAAATTATTTCATTGTTAATTAGGAAACAAATAGCCTATGTGAATATAGTGCTATAATGGTATTCAATTTTTATGTTTCAAAAAATTGTATCTTTGTAAGGTCAGGCTTATGCTGAATATTTTGTTGTTGTTTAAATTTATTTACTGCAATAAGAAATGGAGAAATCGTACATGGAATATTCTTTCTGAATCTTAATATTTATTACTTGCTGATAGTTTCATGTTGCTTAATGCTAAAGGAAACAATTGAAAGAAGTTATACTATTTATCAATATAAAACAAACTTGTTCAATTTTAGTGCAACTTCGTTAAAATTTTAGAGTTATACTTAAGCAAGTAATAACAAGTACTAATTTTAATAAAATTATGAGTTTATCTATTATTATCAGTTTATTATTAGTATTATTTATTAATAGTGAAATTATCAGTTTATCTATTCTGATATAACTTTTTGTCTCAAGTGTACCCCTTGTGAAGTAACATTTAAATTGAGATTTTTTTTGTTAACAGCTTTAAGATTTTTATTGACAATAAAATTAAATTGTTTAAAATAACCATTTCATCAGTGGGATATGAATTTGATAGAATTTTTCAAATGTGTTCGACCTGTTTAAATTTATGTCTCTGAAAGCTTAATAAAGGAAAAACATTTTTAACTTGATTTTTGTTCCAACTAAGTTTTTGTTTTTTTTTTTTTAAAGTTTTTTTTTTTAATGCTAATTGTTGCTGAAATCCAAGGAATCAATTTTTTGTAAAGTATGTCAGTAAAATTGAAACATACAACTCTTCAGTATTCATTGATTTTAAATATTATAATGGGATGATAAAATATTATAACACGAAGTGTTAGTCTTTGCTTTTTCTAAAATTTAATGTCTTGCTATTAACAAATGGTTTAGTTTCTGAGAGTTAAGAGTATCAGAAAATTTTGTACTCTTTTGCAAGGTGTTGAAATGTTTGAGCATTATCACCATTTATTTGACAATGAGACAGGAGATCTTTAATAGACTAAAGAATGAATTTAATGCTGCTTTAATCTAATTTTAACAATTTGACCTGAATGTCAATCGAACAATAATTTTTGTTTATTGCTAAAAGTCCCAGAAATAAACTCTTGTTAGGTGTAGTATGTAAAATTAAAGTATGTGTATTTGAATTCTTCAGTTTACATTGGTTTTAGGAATGTACCTAATTTAAATCATTAATTTGGTAGCATATGATACTCTTAAATAGCACAAAGAAGGAATCAAGTGCCACTTTTAATTAAAACTTAAACATTGTTGATGGAACAATAATTTTAAAATCAAAGTATTGCTTAAGTGACTGTCAATAATTTTTTTTTCTCCAGCTATGCCAATAGTATGCCTGTGTTTTCTTAGGTGCAGCCAGTGCTTTTAATCTGCACAATGTTCTTCAAGGTAAGATTTTCTATAGATCTTCCAGCTGTCTACAATCATCTTTTATACTAAAGGAGCCTTAAAGAAGTAATCACCGTTAAAAGAAATCGGGTATTTCTTTTAACTTTGATTTCAACAAATATATTTTTCGCAGCAACTTGATTTGGAAGTTATTGTGATAAATGAATTTGAATTTCAGATATGCATTACATTTAAAATTGTTTACTTGTTAGAGTTACTTGATCTCTATCACAATATGTGAATCAACACTGTTATATTTCGTCCTTTGCCAAAATGTGTTATCTTCTTTTTTTTTTGTGTTAGATCAAATCAAATTATGTATATGTGCCCCCAGCACTTGCTAATTCAATGGTTGTGAGTCTGTGCCTCATTTGTGGATAGGATTCAAGCACATCATAATGTACATATATATTTATACTGTCCCCCTGTAATAAATTATCAAATTTGTCCCCCCCCTCAAATCATTGTCTTAATAGAATTCTTTTCTTCTGGAATCTTAGTTTCTCTCCTGAAGTCATTTAATTTATCCTTTGCATTGTATGTGTATAGTAACTATCTGACATCCATCTATTGTATATTTTATTTCATTAAAGATGATATAAAGTATTTGAAATGAAAGACTTTCATATTGTTTTCTATTTATTTATTTTTGAATCTGGATAGTTTTTACTCTACATTCAAGGACATTATGATCATTTATCTATTTTTATTCAACCCAGTTATTTTTAAAAAGACAACTAAATTTCTCAACATTAAAATGGAAATAAGTCGCTATAATAATATTCTTGAATAATTTCTTTTATCAACTTCGTGTTTTTTTAAGATTCTGGGACTTATGTTTTCTAAAGACATTTAAACTGCATTTAAAAAAACATTAAGTAACAATTTTTAAACAAAATTAAATAACATTTTAAAAAAAGAAAGTTTTTGAATGAAGTTTTTATGAACTTTCTGTGTGACACAACATTAGTTCAAAAAAAGTTTTTGACATTATAAGTTTTTATTTTTAATTTTTGTAGAACTAGTGAAAACAAAAATTTTGTGGAAACCCGATAATTTAAGTCCACAGTAATTTTTTTTATACAACTTGTTTCATTTGCAAGTTCCTAAGTATTACACGAAGATCATTCTTCAAGAATCGCCATTTCTCAAGACTAATGAATGTTTCAATAACTAAGGCCTTATTTTGAATGGTTAAGGTATTTGCAGATATTGTTAAAAATTATTTTTCGTTGCAAATTTGTAGGAGTTTTAAAAATTTTACACCTAAAAAATAAATTTTCGTTTATGTATATAAAAAGAAAAAATCCTGCAGGGCTGTCATTTTCAACTAAAAAGTTTACTATGGCGACTAATTTCGCTAAAAAATCGCTACAACGTGAATAGTTTGCAATCAATTATGAAGAAACAGCGACTTTTTTTTTTGTTGAACTTATTCGCTACTAAATAATCAATTTTATTTCTGTCTTCGCGATACAGATAAGGGTTTCTTTTTTGCTTTGTCTATTATCTATATTTATCCTCATGTATAAGTTTTTTTTTCTTACTCCATTTGTCCAATGCAATTATAATGGAATGTTTCATGCCACTAAAGTGAGCTTCAGCCGTGGACTAATGCAAAAGAAAGAAAGAAAAAAAAAGCTACCTAAATAAACAACCGGTAACTTATTAACAGAACTTTCAATAAAACGTCCAATACCTCCATTCAAAATTTTGATCCTTCGGAATCCAATTTTTGAACGAAAGATTTATAATGAAGTGTTCTTTTTTACATTTCCCATATTTCTAAGTTGTAATGTATATGTTAAATTATTTTGCCACCCCAAATATTTTTAAATGAAGTTCCTTAAAGTCAGTAGGTTTAACTAAATTTTGACCTATATTTATATTTTAAATGTTGAATTAACTTTTTATAGCCGAAGATTATTTCTAATATGAATTTTTTTACAATTATGATTTAATCCAATTTAAAAAAAAAGTTTGCAAGAAGTGGCCATTAAATGAGAAGGACCTATTTATTTTAGTCATAAACTTATTAGGTTTGAGGAAAAAGTGACTACAAAGTTGTAAGTCTGCCAGACACTGTCTACTAACTGAAACTTTAAATTTTCAGGTCTATGTTAAAGTTTGTTTTGACAGCATAATAATATAAAATGTATGGATTTAAATTAGATGTTACAAGAAAATATAGTTTAATTTGCTAGGATTTTTCTTCCGTTTATGTAAACATGAAGATTGTTTATGGGAGTGTTCTTTAACTAATTTTTAATAAAATGGCGGAATTTTAAGAATTGTTTTTAGAAATAATTATTTTTTCAATAGTGATTATGGCATTTAAAACTTGGTTACTTTAAAGACCACGTGATGTAAAATTTTATTCATTAAGTGAAACACTTATCTTTTTAGTTTTGCCTTATTTTTATTCGTGTAATTTCATTTAACAATAATTTCGANTATAGGAGTGCAGGGTGCGTAGCGTTTGTAAAAAGTATTTAAAGGTGCTTTTTTGGTGATTTCGTTTGTAAAAGCTTTTAAAGGTGCTTTTTTCAGCTGGTGTTTTTAAAAAGTGCTTTTTTTCACAAATAATTTTTTTTTCTTCAATGATATCTGGTGGATCTCGTGCATTTCTCGAAAAATGTAGCGTTTGCTACGTAATCATTCGCGGACTTTATGTCGTACCCACGTTATGACTTGCGCATGCGCGCACACTTAAAACCGAAACCCGAGTGCACCGATTAGGATAGAGAATATCAGATTCTTATGAAATGTTTTTCTTTTTAATTTAATTTAATTTTATTCTTGTTTATTTTATTTTACTTCTAACACTTTTTTGACGTAGGGGGTTAGGGTACTTTTGTTCCGAATTCAGGGTCAAGTTGAATTCACTCGGTGATATGGGAAAGTACTGATTGTTTTGATTTACGTCCGTTTCTTTTTGGGTTTTTTTAAAGCTAAAACTGTTTATAAAAAGTTTTTGTTTTTCAATAATATCATTGATTGAATATGAATTTTTTGAGTGCTTGAAAATTTTTGTAAAGTGCTTGAAAAGTTTTTAAAAAGTGCTTATTTTTGATTCAAAGATTTGGCTACGCACCCTGGAGTGTTCTTTAACTAATTTTTAATAAAATGGCAGAATTTTAAGAATTGTTTTTAGAAATAATTATTTATTCAATAGTGATTATGGCATTGAAAACTTGGTTACTTTAAAGACCACGTGATGTAAAATTTTATTCATTAAGTAAAACACTTATCTTTTTAGTTTTGCCTTATTTTTATTCGTGTAATTTCATTTAACAATAATTTCGAGTCGGTATGAACTGACCGACTCGTTAAGAAATCGCCCTAAGGAATACAGATTGTGAGATTCAGCAATAATAAAAATTACAAGAAAAGCATGAGCGAGAGGTAATTTCACTCGGTGATTACGCAATTAAAAAAAAAGAGCGTTTTTTTATCCTTATTTACAAAGTTTCTAAATTTTTATTTTGAAAAATTTTACTATGAATGTTAAAATTTATCTCTCTCTTTTGATTGATATCTACTGGAACAGAAGCTTATAAAATAAAGATCTCGGATAGTAGGTTTTTTACAAAACAGGATAAGTAGTCAATATTTTAAGTAAAAAATCTATAAGTAAATCTCGAAAACGCTCTTAAATAAGCAATAACTTGAGAACAAATACAAATTTGAAAAAAAAAAATTTTTAAAGTAATACAAAATGGACCTTCGAGCACTTCAAATTTCAACCCTGTAGTTACATTTTAGCTGACAGTAGTTGACCAATATTTTTTTTTTCGGTGTAAGTTTAATTGTTTAATCATTCTTGAAATCGAATCGTAATTTTTGTTTAATTCTATCGCATTCCTTGCACGTTTTTCTGCACATCTTCATAAAATCAAGTTTTTAATGAGCAGTTGAGTTGGAAAGCAAAATGTTATGTTAAGAAGGGGAAAAAAAAACGCACTTTAAATTGCATTAACTTTTGAACAAATTAGAATTTCGAAAAAAAAATATCTGTGCTAAGTTCATATTTAAATGCAACCTTTTCAACATGCCAAATTTCAACTGCGTAGTCCTGCGGTCTGTGGAGCGGCCGTCCGTGTGCAGGGCCTGATTATATTCTAGGCCCAATACGCATGGGCCTAGGGCCCGCAATTTCTGAGGGGTCTCAGAAATTAGTAAAAAGTCGAATGAAAGGTGGGCTGGCTATGTGTTGGTTTAAGTACTAAATAAAAAATAATTACAGCTTACAATAAAAAATGATTCAGCTAATCAGTGACTTTTAGCAAAAATCACTTATTTCAATTGCTTGTGGCCACCAAACTATTTTTATTTTGACATAACATAGTTTTGTTGTTTTATGTTTTGCTTCAATTTATAGATACGTAAACTTTATCTTAGAAAAATAATCTTCAATTGTCTGCTTTCAAAATTTCTTAGAATGTTTCTCTTGAATCATGCAGTTCAATTGATTCTTTTTTATTATTAGGACTACTCTTCAGTAATTTAATTTCAAAAATGTCTTGTAAGGTGCCCGAAAAATTTGGTGGGCCTTGGGCCTGAATTTGTCTTGATCGGTCCCTGCCCATGTGGTAATTATTCTCGAACAAATTATGGAATGCTGAATTTTTTTTTAATTCCAGCATAGTCCCCGTACAATTTTCCACACACCTTAGTAATTCTAAGTTTTTTAGTTTTTCCTCAGCGAAACAAAACGTAATGTTAAGCACCCTAAACAGTGTCGGCCCTTACGATTTTTAAAGTAGACAGATTAAAGTATAAATATTGTATGCCTCTCTCCAGAAACTATTTTATACCAGTGGTATACAGGTAGAGAATGCGATCACGTAATAATTTATAAAAAACAACACGAGTCGGATGGTTATCCATAGATGGAGTTAGGTTGGAAAGTACGTTTTACAGGAATACTCAATTGAAGTTACAAGATTCGTGTGTACTAAAAGTCTGTCTTTGTCTTTGTAAATCTTATAAACGCAGCGTTACACATAAAAAATTGAGTTATACAAAAATTCTGTTTGAATAATTTTTGATTATCTGTGGATATTTCTTTAGTTTTTAGTTAATGGGTTCGTTAAAATACATTTGAAAACTGAGTAATTTTATTTTTGATATTTTAACATTTAAAAAGCAGAGCATAAGAATTATTTTTTTCGATAAAGAAATAGAAAATCAAATATCTCAAATTTTTGCCTGGTCTTGTGTCAAGATTAGACGAATTGATGAATGTACAGTTTAATTGATGAATGTACGAATTGATGATTGTACAGTTTAATTGATGAATGTACGAATTGATGATTGTCTCATTGTACAGTTTAATGGTGTAAAAGCCTGAAGCAACTACTTTGTTTCTAACGCAAATGAAATTCTGTACTTAGCGCAATGAAATCAAACAGTGGTGTGAAAATAAGAGGTTAAACAAACAAAAAAGAAGATAAGATCTTGAAACACTATTTTCTTGTACGAGATATTTAATCATATTTTTTGTAAGATGAATTTTTTTTATATATTGCACAATATTAAAACTTTAAAATTTTTATTGATGCTAGAGTCCTAAATTTTTGTGTGTTAGCCAGGGTAGCATGAACAGAATGATCAAT